GGGGCACCGGCAGTGGACACGACTGGGGTGCGGTGAGAGGCGGCTCCCGCAGAGCCCATCCTTCCTGCCAAGATGGCGCCTCACTGGGTCCCGAGAGGCGCCACCCCTCTCCTAGGACACAGCAGGGGAGGGTCTCCGGGGGAGAGGCCCCGTCTGGACTCCCTCTTTCCCCCTTGGCCCAGGTCCCCGCGGCTGTGGTGGGAGGCCCCCGGGGGCACTGCGACTTACTCTTGCACCTGGGCATGGCGCGATGCCATGTGCCGTCATCCTGGCAGACGGCCGTGAAGGAGACCAGCGCCTGGTTCCCCTGTCGAGCAGAGGTTGGAGACGCCGTCAGTCCTGGGAGGAGCGGGAGGGCTCGCAGGCCCTCAGCTCCCCCTCAGACGTGGCCCCTTCTCCCTCCTCCCCAGCCCAAGGCACAGATGGGAGCGCTCAGCCACGGGGCGGCAAGTCAGAGCAAGCGCGAGTCGTCAGACCCAGCAGTCGTCTCCCTCGATTCTGGTCTTCTCCCACAGAGGTCCACAATGTGCAGTTTTCTTGTCTTTTTTTTTTTTTTTATTATTCAGTCTCACTCCATCGCCCAAGGCTGGAGGGCAGTGGCACGCTCACGGCCACCGCAGCCTCAACCCGCTGGACTCCGGCGATCCTTCTGCCTCAGCCTTCCAAGGAGCCGGAACTATGGGCATGTGCCACCACGCCTGGCTAATTTTTTGATTAATTGTAGAGATGAGATCTCGTCATTCTGTCCAGGCTGGTCTCAAACCCCTGGGCTCAGGTAATCCTCTCACCTCTGCTAGGATTACAGGTGTGAACCACCATCCTGGCCAGGCTGATCTTGAACTCCTGGGCTCAAGTGAGCCTCCTGCCTCAGGCACCCAAAGTGCTGGGATACAGGCGTGAGCCCCCACACCCAGCCAAATGAGCTTTATTAAGAACAAATACCCCCAGCACTTTGGGAAGCTGAGGTGAGTGGACTGCCTGAGCCCGCAGGTTCGAGACCCGCCTGGGCAACTTGGCAAGACCTCATCTCCACAATAAATCAAA